TGATCTCATGATTTCTGTCTAATTCAAAGAAAGTTTTTCGTCGCGCCCCTGATGGTGGATGGTCGCATCGGAGATAGAGTCAAGCCTCGTATTAAATAACACAGTAATTTACAATAAATAAGTCGTGAATTAACACGTAATAATGCGACGGCACGGTCGCCTAGCTGTTAACGGTGTCGCAAATGGAAGTTTTCACATTCGTGATTTAGTAACTCTCCCTCACCGCAAACGATCGTTTCCTTCATGAAGGGGAATCTCGCTAATGGCTGCAACATTTAGTTTTCTTTTATTTCATAAACGCGATGCTTATTTTGCCGTTAAATTAAATTCTAAGGCGATTAGCGTTTGATTGGTTCGTGTTTTTTTTTTCAACTTCTTTTTTTCTTTATTGTATGGTAAAATGATTAGCGTAACCAAAATTCATCACAACACAAACTCGGTATGTGTATTCGAATTTTTTTTTTTAATGATTAAGTGATTACTGGTTTCGACGAATATGGTTACCGGGGTCCCTAAGCCTGCTCCTAGTGTTAGAACTGAAGGCGTCTAATTCAAGCGTTATTGGATCTGATGGATTCGTAAGGACGTGTCTAACGCGTATTTGAAGTCTCAACATATACAAACCCTTCGAAAAAGAACGAATGACTACTTCGCAGTCGATATAAGAAGCGTAGTGATGACCACCCGTGCGGCGTCTATAATCCTTTTAGTAACCCTAAAAATTTTTTTTGGGCTGGTGGCCGAACCTCTTACGATGTCCCCGCGTCTAGGGGGCGCGCGGGGTATGTGGGACTTGACGATCTGCAGGTGTTGGGAGCAGACCCCGGGCCCAAGGAACTTTAGGGCCTTACCGCACTAAACGACTCCGCTGCGCTCTTACACCCGACGTCGAGAAAATGTAACAATTCACATTTCTAGCGTATTGTCTGCCAAGACGTTTAGAATATTTATTATTATTATTTTTTAAAGTCTTTAATCATAATATGCTTTCAGAATTTTCTTTGAGCATTTCAGGAAATATTATAAGCTGAAATACTACCCGCAATAATATTTTGCTTCAGCCTCAGAATATGCTAGTGCATATATGAAACTGCTTCGCAGATTTTAACTAGTATTCCTCGTCCTTGTGTCAATAATCCTCAATGCTGAGGGTCGTGGCCTGCTCTAACAACTTTCTCCTGTATTATCCTGTGCCATTCCTGCCTATCTTCGCCTGTGTGGAGAGCAACGTAGACTGAAGTATTGAGAGTGGAGCGTATCTGGTCTGACCAGCGCTTTGGACTTCTGCTTCTGGGCCTTCTTTCGCATACCTTGCGTGTGACCAGCAGCTTTTCCAAACTATCACTTCTCTTTCTGGCGATATGCCCAAAGAACTTTTTTTTATTGCTTAGATGGGTGGACGATATCACAGCCCACCTGGTGTTAAGCGGTTACTGGAGCCCATAGATATCCACAACGTAAATGCGACACCCACCTTGAGATATAAGTTCTAAGGTCTCAAGTATAGTTACAACGGCTGCCCCATCCTTCAAACCGAAATGCATTACTGCTTCACGGCAAAAATAGGCAGGGTGGTGGTACCCACCCGCGCGGACTCACAAGAGGTCCTACCACCAGTAACTCCTCCACGCGCTTATAGTACTGAGGCGGATCGGAAATAGTATTATTATCATTTAATCATCCGCTTTGGTAAGCCACGTTGAAAAACTGCCTGAAAAGCTTAAGTGTTAGTACATTTTCATTCCACGATCAATCAATATAATCGAACAGTAAAAACAAGAGTGGTTCCAAAATAAAAACTAATATTAGCTAACTTTTTTTCGTTATTTCTGGGTTATGGGTAATTCCCTATCAAATAATGATCGGATAAACCTGTCTATAATAAGAAATTGAATATAAGAAACAACGACGTAAAATACGTTTAATACATCACTAAATACGCAATCGATTTCATAATCAAGTCGTAATGACGTCACAACGCGGACATAGTGAATAAACATGACAGTACTGCGACATCGTTAGTAATGCGACTTCAAAATCTTAATTTTTTTTTGGAAATTTTTAAAGTTATTAGACCATTATGTTCAATGCATTTATATGTTGATAAGAACTATTGTTGCAATAAAGAGAAATACTGAAATATTCCATAGAAATATGATAATAAGAAAAATATTTTCTTTAAATTTGTTACTTCATTCCATTTTGCGTTGTTCTCAATGCCCTTTGATTATTAGACAGGTTTACTTTTTTTATGAATCATTTAAATTTGTACCAGTTGTCGTACTGTTATATTTCCAACTATGCAGCCTTAATTCTGTTTGTAATGATTGTGAATGAAAACCGGTTTGTGCTGAATGGCCACGGACCAAGCTACGTCATCATCATAACGTCTTCGCCTTTATAAAAGTCAGCTATGACGTGTGCGGGTTTTCGCATAGCTTTGTATTTCTCATATCAATGTTAGAAAAAAAAACCACTTTTATTTGAATGTCTCGAAGATCTGTGACTAAAATAACAGGTGCCTGTTTTGTCTCCAGTAGCGGTTCCGTGGGACCTTTCAATGATAATACTGTTAGTATAATCTTTTCTTGTTTCTGATTTTTTACACATCTATATTTGATGGAATTTTCTTGTTGTTACTTTAATAGCTTTTATGAACTCATGCCATTTGTATATCGCATCCGTTTATACATATACATATGAGTTGTTTTGAATTGAATGAAACTAAAGTATGCTTTGGATAGGATACACTCTATGGTGCAGAGGAGTCAACGCAGCATCAATAGGGCTTTAGTGGCAACCGCGTGGCAGGAGAAGACCTGATATGTATGGGGATCTGAATCCACCTTGTAGGTAGCGAACTGCATCTACACATCTAGCATAATGAATAATTACCTACGCATTTACACAGTTAAAAAATCTTATATTCAGTCTTTAGATTCGTCAAGACCAACCTAACAGCTTTCTCTGACAAGCGAACGAACAAACAAACAAGCAAACAGGCGGTTACGGTACGAAACATATAATGTTATTTCACAACGTGCCACCAACACTAATAGAAAGAGGAGTTTATTTTACAATTACTGAATAGCGCTGGTGGAACTAAGTTTTAGTTTGAAAAATAAATCTATATATAAAAATGAATTGCTGTTCGTTAGTCTCGCTAAAACTCGAGAACGGCTGGACCGATTTAGCTAATTTTGGTCTTGAATTAAGTATTTGTGGAAGTCCATAGAAAGTTTAAAAGGTAGATAAATATGAAAATGCTCGGAATTAAATAAAAATAACAATTTTGTTTTTCCTTTAATGTGTCCCTCGTCAGACGGATTGCTTTTGTTTGTTTTAAATTTATTTTATGCAAACATTTAATTCTTTTATTTATCGATTGAGGCACTACGAAGTCTAGTGTCCGGTCAGCTAGTATTCAATAAAAATTCGTCATAATTTTGATCATAACGTATGTCTTAAAACACTAATGAGGACTGATCGTTGCTAAACTATTTGTTTTAAACATAAAATGTTGATTACCGGGTAGTTGTTCACCAAAAAAAAATGGATTTTCATTCATCAATCATTTATCTTTTGAGGGTATCTGAAATGTATACAGCACAGAATCTGTCGTTATTACTGCCCGATTACCCGGTTATAGGCAATTGGTTCCCGGACAACATACGGTTAATACCGCACGATCCGGTCGATCGTGATTTGTATTCGGTTTTGTATGTCGACGAGATTGCTCTAATGACTGCCTAATTCAAACAGTCGAGGTCTTTGAGGTTGAGAAAATCGTGGTGAACCAGTCGTAATAAATTTCGTTTAAATAATATTGACAAAATTAAATGATTCACCATTGACTAATATTTATTTGGATGTTCTTTGAAGTAGCAGTTTCGTAGACGGCCGTGTAATAAGCACTTGAAATACGGAAATTCTCGGTCAATATTAGCTGAGGGGAAGTACGATCAATGGCTAATACGGTGCGCTAGAGATGTCCGTGATAATACGTGCCGTATTTCCCATTACAACACGACACGGAGGTGCAAATTTTTAGATTCCCATTAAATATTTACTGAGCGGAGACATTCACATCGTGATATCTACGCTTACCGTACTCATATTTGTATATATACTAGCGACCCGCCCTCGTTTCGCTTCGGAAACATTAAATTTTATTATTGATAGCTGAGTCCCGCGATGTTACCCGCGGTTATTGTCGTACCGCGGGTGACGCCGCGGGGCGAAGCTAGTCTAAAAAAAGCTACTCCTCCTAAACTACTCCTAAGTAGCTTAAGTTACTCCCTATATCATCAGCTACCTATCAGTGAAAGTCTCGTCAGATTCGTTCCAGAAATTAGCCGGAACAAACAGACAGACAGACAAAAATTGTAAAAAATATATTTTGGTGTATGTACCGTATATATATTCATATGTATGTAATAAAAAGCGGTTATTTCAATATTACAAACAGAACCTCAAATTTTATTTATATGTATAGATCTCTTCTGTGCGTGTGTTTGTCACTAAACTCCTCCTAAACGGCTGGACCGATTTTAATGAAACTGTGTACCTCCAGGTGGATTCGAGAATGGTTTAAATTTACAAATCAGCCCGACAGATGGCGCTGCAGTTGTTGTCTAGGCTATTTATCGTTCCTAGAAATAATCAATATGGCAAAACAACGTTTGCCGGGCCAGCTAGTCTATTATAATATCAAATGGGACGTTATATTTTTTTTTTGTTTCGCAAGTTATAATCACTACCATGAGATGTGTGGTTTGCTTTAAGCAGGCTTTAAAATAGTTGACAATAATTCCGAGCTTATATCTCTTCGTCAACGACAACACACTTATTCTGGATCATTTAAAGAATGGCTGTGAGTAAAGTACCTAATTATAATTTAACAAAAATCTTCAAACGACATCATGTATTTTTTATGAATTGTACCGTAACCGTAATGTTGTTAAAAATTAAATTAAATAAATTAATAATACGCTTCTCACCTCTACCGCTTCTGCCGACGAACCTCAGGTCATTGAACTTGGCAACCCTATTTTTCATAACGGCAGAGTTGTTCCTCAATTCCGCGGAGCAGTTTTCATCGTTGCCAGCTCTGACCGTCACCAGGGTTCCGTCCAGAACGTCTCCAAGGGCGACCACTTTGAAACCACCGGGCAGAGTTTTATTTGAACGCCAGTGCTGTGGTAATATAGAGCACATGTAGTCAGGACTGCCAGTTTTAACTGCAAACAAGAAATGTACTGTTCAAAGAATGAAGTTCTTGACGTACCGGGCCATACAACGATGCCGGACTTCAAAACACACCGGCTAGTATCAAAGCAAACACGCAAGCACTAACAGAAGTTCACAGACAATTTCCACAATGAAAGTTATCAAATTCAGTCGCAAAAGCTTTTACATTTGCGTAATCAGTGCTAGTATTGTGATCCGGTGCGGCTTGTTACGAGCAATCAGACTATTTTCAGCCTATTCCAGTTCGAAGATTAGTAAAGCGGTTAGGGCCAAATGAGACTACAACCTTCAAAATCGGTGAAATTTTCGTTATAATATTTAAGGTATTTAGCACCAGATAGGCCGAGAAATTGTCTATCCAATTGTGAAAATAAAAAATAGACAATCAACTTCAAATGACATAAAGTTAAAATTCCCTTGTAGGTACTATGTTGTTACGCAATTTTGTCAAGTGGTGTGCAAATAACAATTTTTAAACTATTGACTAAATAAAACTATTGACTTAGTTCAATTCTGGCAGCTGTTCAACCGGGATTCACTGTTTCTGTTACCAAACAAATATTAGGTGGATACTTTACTATAACACTTACAATATCTACTACAGTTTACTGGTGGTAGGACCCCTTGTGAGTCCGCGCGGGTAGGTACCACCACCCTGCGTGTTTCTGCCGTGAAGCAGTAATGCGTTTCGGTTTGTAGGGTGGGGCAGCCGTTGTAACTATCCTTGAGACCTTAGAACTTATGTCTCAAGGTGGTTGGCGCATTTACGTTGTAGATGTCTATGGGCTCCAGTAACCGCTTGACACCAGGTGGGCTGTGAGCTCGTCCACACATCTAAGCAATAAAAAAAATAAAAAAAACTTCGATACTTTAAGACAAATATTTTTTTCGTATGGAAACTACCGACATCTTGTAGCGAATGCCCATAAACTTATATGTTATTAAATTAAAGGCATTTCATTATTGTATAACTAAACACAGAAAATAAAATAAAAATTATAAACCATACAAGTCTTTATTTGTTATAGACAGATTGATTAAATTTTATCAATTCGTGGTTTCTGAAAATTTACTAAATCCTTCATTAAAAATAAAATATAGGATAGGTAATTTGTTACTGCCATCAACTGGAGCAATGAAAAACTAATCGAAGCGAAGCCATCTAGTGGCCGACGCCCGTAAACATTTTTGTTGAGTGCTAGAGTAGCTTATCTATAACTAATTTATGTGTGTTATCTTTGGTTACTACTGCTTTAAATGATAGCAAATAGGGCCGAAACCAAATGTTTTATTGACAAATTGAGTACAGTAGAGTAAAGAATCAATCACGATCTAGTTTCAGTTGATTGTGGAAAAACAATAACATTAGGACTTTTTAGAAACAGAACATTAAACGTTGTACTACAATAAAGTGCCAAAGAAAACGATAAAAACATGGATTAGATAACTTCCATAACCGATTATGAATGTTGACATTCATGTCACTAACCGGAAAAGACCTGTAAAAAACATCACGCTACTAGTAGAGGTGCTAATTGTAAAGCAACACATAAATTGTAATTTGGTCACACGCTTCAGATTGCTTTACGATGCTGGAAAAACTCTGTTAGCAAACAACCGCCTACTAATGCGATCACTGGTATTTTAAACAGCTGATATTTTAGGCATCGTGGCGCGAAGGCCCACCTTGAGACATTAGCTCGAAGTCCCTTTTGTATTGTCTAATTGCTTTTACACGTAACAAATCGAAACATATAATTGATTTGCGACAAAAAAGGTAAGATGGCAGTATATATATATACTTTTATATCCGCGTTAGATCGTGACATACTCAATAATAATATAGATTCATTCATTTTACGGGTTGTGATTTTTATTATCTATATATTAAATAGGTGAAGCAAAATCTTTGTATGTCTTTTTACGAAAATTGCGGAATACGGCAGAGGAGTATGAAATTACCCACACTTATAGAAAATCTAGAGAAGGAGTGCACAATGCTAATATTTTTTTTAAATAATGCATAAAAGATACATTAAATCAATAAAGAAAACATTACACACACTAACATGTATTTGACACACACACGCATACCTACTATTTTGTTTATTGTTAAAGTCTGAGGTCAAGTTGAGAATAGATTAATATTGTTTTTCTTTAATATTATTTGTCTATAGTGTAGGTAGCCTTAGCGAAATCTGTGATTATAGAAGTAAAGTATTTGACAATAGAACCATAATAATTTTCAAACTTATAATTTAAATTAATAAATAGCCGTAGCATTTGAACCTTACAATATATACTTATATCTAAATGAATATGCCGTTAATACTATGCTTATGTATGTTACGTGGATTTTTCGAGCAGTAAGACTTGCACCAGTCAATTGCATCAAATATTCTGATGTACGATGTCACGCGTTATAATTTGGACTTTGGATGCTTTTGTAGCCCTTATTTCAATATTTGAAGTCGTCGTGGCCTAAAGGATAAGACGTCCGGTGCATTCGTGTTGAAGCAATGCACCGGTGTTCGAATCCCGCAGGCGGGTACCAATTTTTCTAATGAAATATGTACCGAACAAATGTTCACGATTCACTTCCACGGTGAAGGAATAACATCGTGTAATAAAAATCAAACCCGCAAAATTACAATTTGCGTAATTACTGGTGGTAGGACCACTTGTGAGTCCGCGCGGATAGGTACCACCGCCCTGCTTATTTCTGCCGTGAAGCGGTAATGCGTTTCGGTTTGAAGGGTGGGGCAGCCGTTGTAACTATACTGAGACTTTAGAACTTGTATCTCAAGGTGGGTGGCGCGTCTACGTTGTAGATGTCTATGGGCTCCAGTAACCACTTAGCATCAGGTGGGCTGTGAGCTCGTCCACCCAACTAAGCAATAAAAAAAAAAAAATTATTTCAATATACCTAAAATTTTATGTCTTGATTCAAGGTGACAATTTTTTTAATTATTTCTAGAACAGTGAAATCAATTTAAGTGACTGAGACTGTTTCAATTTTGTTAAATGCCGCGACACCTACTCGAAATAGAATTGAAACAGAATTCACATCAAGGACACAATAAATTTATTAAAAGGAACAAAAAGATCATCAGTTACTTGTGTAGGTGTTTAGATATATTTTAAAAAACTATGCAGTAACAAATGAAATACTGGTGAAATACTGGTGGTAGGACCTCTTGTGAGTCCGCACGGGTAGGTACCACCGCCCTGCCTATTTCTGCAGTGAAGCAGTAATGCGTTTCGGTTTGAAGGGTTTAGCAGCCGTTGTAACTATACTTGAGACCTTAGAACTTATATCTCAAGGTGGGTGGTGCATTTACATTGTAGATGTCTATGGGTTCCAGTAACCACTTAACACCAGGTGGGCTGTGAGCTCGTCCACCCGTCTAAGCAATAAAAAAACGTACTTAACAAATAATCACGAATAACTTCCATGGTGAAGGAATAACATCGTGCAATAAAAATCAAGTCCGCAAAAATTTTAATTTATGTAATTACTGATTGTAGGGCTTCTTGTGAGCCCGCATGGGTAGGTACCACCACCCTGCCTATTTCTGCGGTGAAGTAGTAATTCGGCTCGAAGTGTGATGCAGCCTTTAATTTGTATAAAAAAATAAGACTTAAAACTCATGTCTCAAGATAGGCGAAGACATTGTGTTAATTGATGTCTGGACTCCGCTGACCACTAAACACCAAGTGGGGTCGTCCTCCCATATTAGGAATAAAAAAAACAAATAAGTAAACTTAATATAGGTAGCTATGTAAATAACTCATAAAAATTCGTGTATGCTGATTACATAATGTAGTGTAAATAGATTATTCTTGAGGCAGGTTATTAGCTTCCGAGCTTTAAGATTATATTTATTGTTGGTTGAAGAGTACTTCATTGTATTTTTAAGGCAATTTATGTTTGTCGGAATTATCTTCATTATTTTTAGTAATTAGTCACTTTTTTGCAATATTGTGGTGGCTTATCTGCGACTTAGAAAATAGTGTAACAAAAACTAATGTTATAATTACCGGTTGTAGCGTATATTGCTAGCACGCGACTACTATCCTACCTATAAGCTTTAGAATGTTACTATTTTAGTTGCCGCTCTTCGCAGGCGAGCATATGATGGTGAGTGATTACCGTCGCCTATGAATGTTGATTATACCAAGGCTAAAGCCAAGTCGTAAGCCACGGCGGCGTGCTTTCCGCAAAGCTTTGTTGAAGATCTGTGGATACCGAACCGTCTCCTTCGAGGCAGGGCTCGTCCTCGCCGGGACGCCTTCCTGGGACTTGAAGGCGGAGGCGCTCGCCACTGATTATACTACCTCCACAGGAGCCACGTCTCGATGAAGAAGCGATTAGAGCGTGGAGGCTCCAGTCTCGGCGGTCCATCATGAAAGTATGGTTGAGGCGGTGCGCACGGTCCTCACTAACTGGTTTATTTGCGACCGAGGGCATCTCACGTTCCGGCTGACGGAAGTGCTCACCGGCCATGGGTTTTTGAGTCGGTACCTTTTTTTTTAAAGCTGGGAAATCCATTTACGGATATCCGGTTGAAGGAGGTACCTGCCTGTGCCGGTATCTGCATCGCGTCGCCCGGATGGAGCCGACTATGGAGTCACGATGGTGCGATCAGTGTGCTTGTAACGAGGACACGACCGAGCTCATACTTAAAGTCCGTCCGTCGCTGTGATGAAAGGCGATGCTCGACTTTTGCTCGACCTCGACTTTTGCTCGTCTCTCTCCGCACTTATCCGTCTTCGCCGAGCCGGGGACCGAAGGCTACGCTTTTTTTTTATATAATAAATTTATTTTCTATTTTTTATACGGATTTTCTATAAAAGCGTGTTTTTTAGTTGTTTTTTTTAAACTATTATTTATTTCATGTATAGAAAGCCCTAACCGACTGATTGCAATTTCTCATAGTGGTTGAAATTTCACAAAAATCATGGACGCCTTAGAATTTTGATTGGTATGTATCGCTTTTTTTTTTTGACTTTGTGGAGTCAGTGCAGCGTGTCCTATCTTTCCATTCAAGCCTGTCATTCGTTATCTCTGTAGTCACACTCTACCCTCACATATTCTCTACCACACAGTTAATCCAAGTCTTTTTAGGACGTTTTTCCTCAGCAACCTCACTCATTATCGTTGATGAATGAATGATGTTAACTAACATAGAAAATTAAAAGAAGTTCAACAAAACAAGGAGAAAAGTGAACCGTTTTTGTTTGTACATATTTATATACATATTAGCGACCCGCCCTTGCTTCGCTTCGGAAACATTAAAACACACATGAAACCAAAAAAATAAAATAAAAAATAAAATAAAAAAAGTAGCCTATGTTCATCAGGGACAATGTCGGCTTCTAATGGAAAAAGAATTTTTCAAATCGGTCCAGTAGTTTCGGAGCCTATTCGAAACAAACAAACAAACAAATCTTTCCTCTTTATAATATTAGTATAGATTTTATAAAATACTAGCGACCCGCCCTCGCTTCGCTTCGGAAACATTAAAACACACATGAAACCAAAAAAATAAAATAAAAAATAAAATAAAAAAAGTAGCCTATGTTCATCAGGGACAATGTCGGCTTCTAATGGAAAAAGAATTTTTCAAATCGGTCCAGTAGTTTCGGAGCCTATTCGAAACAAACAAACAAACAAATCTTTCCTCTTTATAATATTAGTATAGAAGTATAGATTTCTATGATGGCGAGCGATGTAAAACACATTTTTCAAATAGATTGCGTGCAATTTCGTCACAAGCACTACTGCCATGTGTTTTAATGAACGGTTACATTTTGTATTTTAAGACAGCGTTTTTTTTTCTTTCAAGAAGAAACGCCCCGTTGAAGTCTTTTCCTCCGTTCATAATCCGTTAAAAAGAAACACAAGTAGTCTTAATTGAGTGTTACAACATATTCCATGTTCCAAAGATGCAGTGTTTTTTTAAAATAAGTATAAATTGGCGTTTGGCATGATAGGTCTCCAACTAAATGACCTTGTCGCTCTGGCGTAAGAACGTAATATTCAATTAACGACTGTCATTTTGTTCGATTTAAGGAGGACAGAAATAGAATTGTCTGTCATTAAAAATCTTTTAACATACTCGGAAAATATTTTCCAGAGTATATAGAAAATATTTTTATATATTAGTGTCATAGCTTTAGGGCTTTGACAGCAGATTACCCATTTCTCAAACAAAGCTTTTTTCATTGCACACAGAGAATTAATGTTTATTTTTTTATTTTTTTATTGCTTAGATGGGTGGATGAGCTCACAGCCCATCTGGTGTTAAGTGGTTACTGGAGCCCATATACATCTACAATGTAAATACGCCACCCACCTTGAGCTGTAAGTTCTAAGGTTTCAAGTATAGTTACAACGGCTGCCCCACCATTCAAACCGAAACGCATTACTGTTTCACGGCAGAAAAAGATGGAGTGGTGGTGTACCTACCCGTGCGGGCTCACAAAAGGTCTACCATTAGTAAAGATAGTAACAGATATTTAGACATACATACATGTCTAAATATGAAATTCAAAAAACCTTTTTATATTTACTTTGATGGACATAAAACTGTCTTATGTTTAGCGTTAACCGAAGTGCGCTATCCTTCTGATTTATATTGCCTCAATAGTAATTTGAATCACGTCACAACTCGGCAGGCTGTAGCCAGTGCAATCTCAACCAGCACTCCTAATGTTTCGAAGTAGTAGTCTAAGCGATAAGATGACCCGTGTACTATACGTATCGAGTGAAGCGACAGTCCACTGAGTTTCTCGCCGGATCTTCTCAGTGGGTCGCGTTTCCGATCCGGTGGTAGATTCTACGAAGCACTGCTCTTGCTAGGGCTAGTGTTGACAACGTCATCAGGTTAGAGCCCCGTGAGCTCACCTATTTGTTCGGTTATACTAGTATCGCCTCTAAAGGCTACCTACCAGCTTAGGTAGGAAAAAAAAAGTGAAGCGACGGTGCCGGTGTTCAAATCCCGAAGGAAACATTTCTTCGAATTGACGAAGGACTAAAATCGTGGAATAAAAATTAAACCCGAAAATTTTATAATTATTCGCGACGGGACGCACAGGGGACTAGTAACTTTAAAAAAAACAGCAATTGGAGAATGGTGAAAAAATAAATTAAAAATTTCTAATAAATTAAACATTATTGTATGTATAAAATTATTGTATAAAAATGAGTTCATTTACTTATACTATAGTGTATACTTTTATATACAACATGGTAATAAATGAAAAAATACATTCAATAGTCCACAGCTCGGATTTTGGTTTCTTTTATGAGCAGAAATAATATATTTTTATTCCCTGTTTTTTTTTTTATAATTCCATTGAGCTAGTTTGGATTCATGATCACCTCAAAAGTGGGTAATGAAAGCCCTGATTAATAAAGTGATCGAATCTGGTCCTATTACCTTTATCTTAACAAGTCCCTATTCTTTACGTAGGTTTTTGAAGGATAGGTATCCGGACATCGATTCAAAACAAACTAAAAATCCGTTATAATGGATCTCAATTATGTTAGAACTCAATCACTATTTTTGTGAATTAAAAATAATTGTTATTTAATTCATTAAATAGCATCTAACAACGTTTTTTCTCAACCAATCACAATGTATGATATTATTTTTGACTGATCGTTGTGTATTAATATGATCTGTGGTTAGCCTGTCGTACGTTTTGGCCCCAAATGACGTCACACGAGATGAACTTTCGGCCGTGCCTAAAATTTTACGCTGCTCTGTTTCATCTATATATCAATACGTGAAGCAAAAACTTTGTATCCCTTTTTACGTAAATTGCGCGGACGGAGGAGTATGAAATTTTCCACATTTATAGAGAATATAGAGAGAAGTGCACAATGCTACTATTTTTTTAGAATAATGCATAAAAGATACATTATAAAGAAAACATTACACACACTACATGCCATGTATTTGATGCACACACGCATGCATACTATTTATTGTCAAACTTTTGTTCTTGACATCTGTGGTCAAATTGAGAATAGATTAAATATTGTTTGTCTTTATTAATATTTTTTATAGTGTAGCCTTGGAGAGATTTGTGATTATAGAAGTATAAAATACAATCATAATAGGGTACAAACTTACTATTCCAATTAATTATAGTTGAATTTCGATTACTGCGGGACTTCTAATATCAACAATTTTGACTATAAGCGTTTAATAATCCCGTTCGTGTTTGTTTGTTTACTAAATGTCAAATCACGTAACGTCGCACTTTAGTTTACTTTCACGGTAGCCCGTCTGCAGATTCTCGTCGCATTTTCCTTAAACTTTCACCGTTTTTTTTAGTTGCATCGATTAGATTTAACTTCATAGGTGTGTTGTATTGGTTACGCGAGTGTTACAGTCATTCGTATATTCCGATGATACTCCGGCACGACCTTGTTTTGACGTAGGAATGAAATTGAATGTTTTTTACGTACATTCTTTCAAGTTATACGAATGCAATTAAGATTTCGGTTCTTCTTATACGAGCTAGGATGCTTTGCTCTGTTTTCGTTGTTGATGCTACCGATGTACCGGGTATCATAGAAATCGTATCGTAAAAACGCAACTGGCTGTCCTCATATAGCATCTTCAAGTCTCAATTGTATTGATGAAAACTGAAGAAGATTTTTTTCAGTAGTTATCCAGATTAGAATTTTTACTTGTTTTTGTTTTAATTTAATTCTTCTTCTTTTCTCCACCTTATCCCACTAGGTGCGGTCGGCACAACTAATTTTTCTCTTCCGTTTTCTTCTATCAGTCGTCATCTCAACACTCACTCCTCTCTCTCTCATATCGTTATTCACACACTTCATCCATGTCTTCTTCGGTCAACCTCTCTTCTCCTCTAACTTGCATTATATTATATTCATTGTTTTAATATACTATATGTTGTAATACGCGATAATTGAAAACATAATTCACACGCTTTATCGATTACTGTATTACAAAAAATTTAGCAACGAAAATGTTTAAAATGTATTAACTTATTAAAAAACTTTAAAATGTATTAACATTGCACAATTAACGTAATTTTTTATTGCTATTTAATTGTAATTTAGTAGTAACAAAAACCGTTTAGTTTGGAAATAAATGGGATTGAAAATATGGAAAAAAAATCTTTGAGGTTAGCTTAGGAAAAAGTTAGTAAATGCTATGTAATAAGAATGTAATGAAAGCCCATACCTAGATCGGGGTATTCAGAGAGAGTCTCTTCGATGATAGACTGCAGCCACCAGGGCTCTAGGTCTGCCATCTCACGGCGGCGTCGGCCCCGCGACTCATACGGCAAATGCATCCTTTAGCGGCTCATCACACGATCACACGCTGGGCCTTTACAAGCGTCTCTACACACTAAACCCACAAAACAGGCGATGTATACGTCACTTATGGAATTGTCGCCCGTGTCAAGGTCACCATTTATTATTCCAATTTCGTTACGTTACGATTTAATCGTAAATTCAAGTGTCCTAAGTTTAAGGTGCTGGCGCTGTTCCAATTTTAGTCTCTGCAAGTTCACGATAACGCAGACCTTTTGATGCCTTTAGTTGTTTAGGCGAAAGTTTACTACACTGAGTGTTCACTTAGCACGGGCAAGTTGATTCCTTTAAATTCTGTCCTTCTTTGGGTTCTTAAACTGTATCAGTCTCTTCTTTTCTAATTGGTTTAATTTAAATGTATTCTTTCTTAAATAACAACTCGTGTGTGCGGTCACTTTGGCGTCCTGGTTTATATCGCACACGAATATTTATGTCGTTATTTCCTCAATGGGTCGACGAGGCAGGCAATATGCTCCAGTTTACGTTAGAACGAACCTTGGTGATTTCTTAAACTTTACTTTCGACATTTTAGATGAGTCACGATCCTCCCGGGTTATTGCGAGAGCCCAAATCACGGCGATCATTAAGTTCCGGTCGGATATTCTCAGAAGAATTTTCAAGTTACCGGCGTCTCAAGGTGTTCAAAGTTGTCAACGTAAAAAGTCAGTGATTTTTGAATATTTTTTCCCGCGCTTCGTGGTCGATTGATAAGAGCATTTCTAATTTGTCTTGTTATTGAAATTGTTTACGTGTTGTCGGCTGACAGGTGTCTATCGCGCGCGTCGCGTAGTGAGTTCGGTCGGATGAGTCAGCGTGCGCGCTCGACGGAGTCTGGACGCGTACTCGCTGCCCGCGCGACTCTCCACTACTGAACCGCCGCCATTCTGTCACTCGCTGCCTCCATTCTCTGCGGTCAATCTGCGGTTTGGCCACGCTTCATTTGTCGGGAAAACGCGCGTCGTTGGCTTCCCGCTCGCGCTTGTGACTCGACGATGTTGTCCGAGCGAGACGGAATCAAGTTTTGTATCATTAAATATTTTTGTTTAGTTCCATTGTCGAAAGGGAAATATTATGAGCTTTTTCATTTCGAGGCGCGGTTGCGTATCTCCCTCTTTCCGTTCGCAGGCTGCGGTTAATGTGGAAAGAGAAGTCGATAACCATTCACGAAATCCGAAGCTACTTGGAAGTTACGTGAAACAGCTCAAAGCTTAGCTTTACGTTTTGATAGATCGTTTAGATAGGTTTATAATAAATAGATTAGTTATGATGACATAAATGTGAATTTTTACATTTAATTCGCGTAAAAGCTTACAGCAATCAAAGCATCTGTTCTCAGGTCAATGAACTGATAACGGAGTTAGGTTTTCAGTGGGTTCTTAAGATAGAGAGGGGGCGTGCGCGCGTCTGGGCGTGGCGACCCCGCCTTCTGTCGCGAAGATGAGCTGCTCGCGGGCGGAAAAACGCAACTGCACAACCGAGCGACCGCAAAGATTGCCGCAGGATTCGAACGTCCGCGAACTCACTTCACCCGAGCACTTGTTGCTTATTCCACGTGACGATCTGTTACGTGATTCCCGATTGCAAACTAATTGCATTCGTCAATATTGAGTCCAGTTATGATGAGACGTTATAAGCATATGCATTCACGAAGATTTTAGCAATATAACTGGTCTATTTTTTGCTTTTATAGTTATTTTTTTTATTGCATATATGGGTGGAGTAGCTCACAGACCGCTTGGTATTAAGTGGTTATCGGAGCTCATAAACATCTACAACGTAAATGCCGCCACCCACCTTGCGATATGAGTTCTAAGGTCTCAGTATAGTTACAACGGCTGCCCCACCCTTCAAACCAACGACGTCTTGCAACCAGTTTGCTGAAGCTGTCTGAGTTTTAAGGATTTTATTGTTTTCTTTTGTTTTGTTTCCAGCTTCACCATTATGGGTGAGCGGGCTCGGGTTCAGCAAGCAGGAGTAAGGTTTGGTAACAACTGCCCGAGTGTCTTAAGGGCGATTACTTCGCGAGGACGATGCTATAGATTGGTTTTCAATAATATAAGAACTTAATTATGAAACTGGATAACGATTAACTATCGTAATATAGATTACGATAGTTAATCGTTATCCAGTTTCATAATTAAGTTCTTATATAATATATAGATATNAACTTAATTATGAAACTGGATAACGATTAACTATCGTAATATAGATTACGATAGTTAATCGTTATCCAGTTTCATAATTAAGTTCTTATATAATATATAGATATTAATACGTGAAGCAAAAACTTTGTAGCCCTGTTTATGAAAATTGCAAAGACGGAGGAGTATGAAATTTCCCACATTTATAGAAAATTAGTTGAATTTCGGCTACTAGGGGATCACTAATAAATTGTAAATAGATAAACTGTATTATGATTGTGTACCCTATTCGGAATGATAATAAGAAATTAGTTGATGTTAAAGGTAAATTTCATTTCTTTCGAATCTTAATTATCTTCAAAGAATTTCATTATCTATAGGTAGGTATATTAATACGTGAAGCAAAAACTTTATATCCCTTTTTACGAAAATTGCGCGGACGGAGGAGTATGAAATTTTCCACACTTATAGAGAATATAGAGAAGAAGTGCACAATGCTAATTTTTTAAATAATGCGTAAAAGATACATTAAATCAATAAAAAAAACCATTATACATACTTCATACCATGTATTTGACGCACACACGCATGCATACTATTTATTGTCAAACTTTTGTTCTTGACGTCTGTGGTCAAATTGAGAATAGATTAAATATTTTTTGTCTTTATTAATATTTTTTATAGTGTAGCCTTGGCGAAATTTGTGATCATAGAAGTATAAGTCTTTGAAAATAGAATCTTAATAGTGTACAAACATAAAATTTCAATTAATTTATAGTCGAATTTCGACTACCGGGCGACCACTAGTATTATTTAGTTGTCTCAACAAATTATTTAATTAAAGGAATACTTAGTAACAATTACCGTTATGCAATAATCAAGTTATTTGTTGTTGAAATGTCATTAAACAACACCTCATAACGATAACGATCAGGTATTAATGATAGCTCGTCATTGCCTTCATTAATAACGCTGTGTCAAATGATAATCGAACTTTAGTCAATCTATTGCTAAGAGATAAATTCATTTTATATTTAGTCAACAAAAAGGCACTGAGCATGCCTTCACAATAAAAAAATTAAATGGAATTAAAACGGTATTGTATTTTTATATTAAGTCTTTACTTATAAAGCTGTTACTCATAAAGTTTTACAACGCTGGCCGTTTGGAAAGAAATTTCCAAATATCTGACAATAATTTCAAAATCAAATTTATTTTATTTTAATAATATGAACTCCATTTTCAAATTTTGTAATTTTCTTATTAATTAATATTTGGTTTTCACAACATTTCTATCTTCTTCATCAATATGGACATGATGAAAATACCAGTAGTTATGGAGGACGATTTCCGTGGCAGTAATGCCGCATAATCGGCTCCCAACATTAAGCGGAGTGTACATTACAAACGAACGCACGACTCGGTAATAGGTTTGAACGTTTTTGACGTGGAAATTTTGATCTTAAATTGAACCCACGTGATTGCCCGAAAACTTAAGCCCGCAAAATTATAATTTGCGTAATGACTGGCGGTAGACCTCTTGTGAGTCCGCACGGGTAGGTACCACCACCCTACCTATTTCTACCGTGAAGCAGTAATGCGTTTCGGTTTGAAGGGTGGGGCAGTCGTTCTAACTGTACTTGAGACCTTAGAACTTATATCTCAAGGTGCGTGGCGCATTTACGTTGTAGATGTCTATGACCTCCAGTAACCACGTAACACCAGGTGGTCTGTGAGCTCGTCCACCCATCTAAACAATAAATAAAAAAAACTAAAGTCAACAACGACGAATTAAAACCTTTAGTAGCAGCTGACGATACTAAATCTACCGCTCAGTTAGCAGCAACTATCAACCATAGCCTCAAAACAATATCGGTCTATTTGCGTTAAATTGGCATAGTACAAAACACCATACAACTTATTAAGTGTGCCGCTTGAACTCAACGATATTTTTTCCATTAGCGGAATTTTTTTTCCTACCTAAGCTGATGATAGCCTTGAGAGGCTATTTCAGCGTAACCTTAACTAGTAGGTGAGCTCACGGGGCTCAAACCGGAGTGATGCTAACACTGGCCCTAGCAAGAGCAGTGATTCGCAGAATCTACCACCGGATCGGAAACGCGACCCACTGAGAAGATCCGGCGAGAAACCCAGTGGGCTAAGCGCAACTAAGAAACGTGCAATGTTTACAAAAAGGTGTTATCGTTCGGTCGTGCTCCCTGTCTGCGGGGAAACCTCAATGTGGGTTTGAGGTTTTAATTGGTAGACGCCCGGCAGACGGCGTACAAAGGAGTGAATGTAATTATAAAACGGCTGTCCCATCCGCGGCTGATAACCGCAATGCTGTCAATTTTTGTGGCAAGAAACGCTCGCACTCAGATCTCGGTGAAGCGTCGAAACTGTGGCGAGAAAACCATTCAATTATTTATGTAAGTAGGTAGTTCTAAGTGCTCGCCGGTCATATCAATATAAAGCCGCAATTGGCGTTTCTGTGTATTATACAAATTAATTAATGATCTTCTGAACGGATTTGATGCGGTTTTCCGATCAATTATCTGATGTATAATATTGAAATGTATTATTGTTAGCCTATCTATACGCCACAAGACGACCTATCACTAGTAGTACTCATTCAGCGATTGCACCATTCTCCAGGTATTGTTGATGTCCATGAGCTTATTTATTTTTTGTACAGAGGAGTGAAAGAGCAAACCCGCCTGATGGCCAGTGGTTAAAAGCCAATAGATATGAAGGTCATCTTCAGTCATGAGTTAGAGGCCTGTTTTGGATTGTTAGCACCGTAACAATATAGTGTAACACCAGTATCTTCTGTGTTTAATGATTATTAATAAAAAAATATTGTTTGTCTGTAAAGTCGGTTTTCGGACTATTCGAGTTCTGACGTCACGCGAGAAGAGATGCGTCACAAGCCAACGCTTGGGCCGATCGTGCCTCTCTATCACTTCTTCCGCGCTCTCGCTTGCACGCTCAGGTTCATGCGGAACGTGACACTTTTTCGTGCGTGCAGTCGGTATTTATCTATTTATAAGACGTTATTACTTCAAAAAAGTATGCTTTCAAATTGAAAATAGATATGTAAGACAATTTCAGTAATAAAATTGTTATTGAATTGTAAATAAAATTAAATACAAAAAATAATTGAAAGAATGACGAACTATTTTCAAAACTAAAATATTCTAGGGTATTACTTGTTTCCTTCAATACTCATTCATGACGAATACAAAATAAGGATAATTGTAACTGTTCATGACGATGGTGAAGAAGAAACCACGCATGACAGAATTATGATAGTTTTATTTATTTACTTTTAAATACATTATTTTATTAACAAAAATGTTGACGCGTGTCACGCTGCTGGTCGACCAACACGAATCTTAGTCCGCGGGCGCATCTTCCTCGCGCTGCCTTCCCCCGTCCCCTCTCTCGCCCTGAACGTCGTGAACATCCTCCCCCCCCTTGGAAGCTGAGGTTCCAAGGAGCTCATAGGCATCTCCTGTGGGCAGAGCGCAAATTTTTGTTAACGCTCTTTTGACGATGCCCTTTGACGTCTTGATATCCACAACTCTGCAGATTCCATCAGGTCCATAATACATGTGATGAATTCGTCCTAGGATCCATTTCATTGGTGGAAGTTGATCATCCTTGACGACTACCATGTCTCCAATTTTTACGTTCCGCTCGCCATTCTTCTGCCATTTTACACGCTGCTGAAGCTCACACAGGAACTCACGTGACCACCGTGTCCAGAACGTTTGTCTCATACGTTCTAACTGCTGGTATCGGTTGATCGATATCCTGGTCGTAGTNATTCTTCTGCCATTTTACACGCTGCTGAAGCTCACACAGGAACTCACGTGACCACCGTGTCCAGAACGTTTGTCTCATACGTTCTAACTGCTGGTATCGGTTGATCGATATCCTGGTCGTAGTTGGAGCCGGTAACGACGATAATGGACGCCCGATAAGGAAGTGCCCAGGTGTTAAAGGTGTAATATCAGAGGGGTCCCCGCTGACATAGGTGTCAGGGGACGGGAATTTAAAATTGCCTTAGTTTGAGAGAACAACATTGTTAATTCCTCAAAGGTTAAACCATTATTTCCTGCTACACGTTTTAGATTAAACTTTGCGGCTTTAACGCCAGCCTCCCAGATACCACCAAAGTTGGGAGCGTAGGCTGGATTGAATTTAAACTCTATGCCCTCACATAAACCGAAATCAGTAACGGACTCATTAGCGGCTTTAAGCATTCTTTTCAATTCATTATTCGCCCCAACATAATGTTTGCCATTGTCGCAATATATTGTGCGTGGTTTACCGCGCCTAGAGATGAACCGACGTAAGCAGAGGATGAATGCATTAGTGCTTAGTTCACTCACGACCTCTAGGTGCAGAGCTTTGGTGCAAAAGCAAACAAAGAGACACAAGTAGCATTTGCTTGTTCTTGCGTCGCGGCCTTTGCGATTTAATATAAGGAAGGGACCTGCAAATTCGGTGCCACAAGTCTCAAACGGAGCAGCTGGATTGACACGAGGATCAGGTTAGTTAGACATAATCGGTTGTATATTTTTGTCTTTTATTTTGGTACACTGTACGCAATTGAATGACCTACCACTCGTGGTTTTACATGAACCATCGAACACGACGGGTATAGGTGTAGTTTCACTTTGGTCACGTGTCACAGGGTGATGAGGTAAGTAATACCCGAAAGGAGGACTCTTGATTGGTGATAAATGGCCTAACCGTTCATACTCATGAATAAAAGCTTTATATTTTTCTTTCAAAATCGGAAACTTGTCGAGTTTTTTCTCTAAACTAAAAAATCTATATTTAGCAGTATTGAAAGAATCACCCAGAGCTCTATCAGGCGACTCACTCACAGGCATCAGTACTGAGAATCGACCTTCCTCAGTACGCTTTGTATTTTGTAAAAAATGAGATTCACATACCTCTTCAACCTTTGAGAACTTCTGCCTGTTAAGAGGGGGTAATTCCTCAATCTCCCAAAACCTAGAAAGAGATTCATTTATATTTCGGGAGAAATTACAAATTTTGTCATGAACTCCTGAACCAGAACCTACACCAGTTGGCCCAGATATTAACCAACCTAATCGTGATTCTTGGAGAGTAGGCTTATTTCGCCCAAGCTTAATCTGATGACCATAAACGATCTCCCAGAATATATCTGCCCCTAACAACATATGAATATCAGAGGGATTAAAAAAGCTTGGATCAGCCAACTCAATGTTTGCAGGTAAGTTCAACGTAGACATGTCTATTTCGACGTTAGGTAATCTATTTGTTATATGTGGTATGACCAGACAAGATACCATCATGTGAAAAGAATTGACCCGTGATTGTATTTTTATGTTACACAGTTGTGATGCAGCACATACTGTGTTATTAATTCCCAATACTTTTATAGGATTTTGATGAGAAATAGGTAAGTTAATCTTTTTTTGCAGTTCTTCCGTGACAAAAGACGCCTGGCTTCCGTTGTCGAGAAGCGCTTTCACGAGGTAAGTTTTGTTACTGTTCGGATCAACTATTTTCACCTGAGCGGTACAAAGTAACACTTGACCAGGCATCATCGCAGACAGCGACACCTGTTCATGGGCACTACCGCCTTGAGAAGAAGAAGACGGGCTAGGTACGTTGTTGTCTGTGTTCACGTTATTATTCTCTTGCAAATGTTTATGTAATAACGAGTTGTGTTTCGCATTACATATCCGGCAGCCTTTCCTGAAGCAACGAGAGGGACGATGACCAGATTTAAGACAATTGGAACACAATTTATGTTTATTAACTAGGCTCAACCTTGCATCTACATTCATATTTTTAAATATATCGCACTCATAAAGAAAATGATTTTTTGAACAAATAATACACGATTTCGACGATGAATTTGCAGCAACAAAAGATTGAGTATACTNTTTCCCTTTCGGGCCAGCCGCCTCGCAGTCGCTGACGAGCGCAGAGCGCGTCGAGCCAGCGCTGGCACACCTCAGTTCGACGGGTTTTCCGCTGCCCGTCGCACAGCCCCCTTCATCGTGGCATGCTTTGCCCCCCCCAGAATACGTGGGGCAGCATGCTCCCACCGAGGTGGAAGCACGGAGGGATTCTCCACCTAGAGTGGTACCCTCCTGGGGAGGTACGGGTACCTAAGTGTTTTTTTTATATTTTACTTAGGTATAGATTTTATGTTGCATCGTTGTTTTCTGGATTCATTAATTCAAATTAATGTAAAAGTCTAAATTAAAATTTTAGTACGGATTCTATTTTCTATCAAACCATTAAAAAGTTGTTTCATTTATGTAAAATTAAAGATACTAGTGGTCCCCTGGTAGTCGAAATTCGACTATAACTAATGGAAATTATAAGTTTGTACACTATTATGATTCTATTGTCAAGGACTATTACACTTCTTTAATCACAGATTTCGTCAAGACTACACTTTAGACAAATATTAATAAAGAGAAAACAGTATTTAATCTATTCTCAATTTGACAGACTATAACTGACAATAAAGAAAAGTTTGAGAATAAAGAAATAGTATGCATGCGTGTGTGTGTCAAATACATGGTAGTGTGTGTAATGTTTTCTTTATTGATTTAATGTATCTGTTATGCATTATTTAAAAAAAATATTAGCATTGTGCACTTCTTCTTTGTAATCTCTATAAGAGTGGAAAATTTCATACTCCTCCGTCCGCGCAATTTTCTTAAAAAGGATACAAAGTTTTTGCTTCACGTATTAATATATAGATTTGTTACGGCTTAAATTCGTGTTTTTTTTTTGCCAAAGTTTCGAATACATTACAGTTTTCGTGATCGTAACTTAAGATATACTAGTCTGAAAACTCTATTGAATTCCTATGATTATTTGAGTGACGTTTTTAGCTTAGCTACCTACCTCTTTACTCAGCTACCTATATCAAAAGTAAAATAGCCACATTAGCCCGTGATATATAATTCAGTATTAATTGTTTGACTGAACTATAAACATAATATATAAGTGGGTTACTAACCACGTAGAAGTTATAGTTAAATAAGTATTTTTTATTTTGAAGAAAAAAGTAGGTAACCATTAACCAAAAAATAACAAGACAACAAATATGTTTTACAACCCTTATTCCGCTTAATCAGTATACAAAAGGGCTCTTACGTACGTAGCTACTTAATGGCACGTGTCGTTGTCTAATAGATTTAAATGCAGCGTTAATTAAGTAAAAAGAGGGACTAAATATACTGTGCCGGACACAAAACTTTTGTTTAAGCTAATTCTGTATCAAAAGGGTATTTAATACCGTTTTGACAGAAACTGAACCCTAATGATGTTGATCAAAACTTAATTGGGCTTTATAACGCTGAACCGCTTCAGTAGTCGTCTTGGCCTAAAAGATAAAACTTCCGGTGCATTCATGTTGAGCGATGCACTGGTGTTCGAATCCCAGGCGGTTACCAATTTTTCTAATGAAATACGTACTCAACAAATGTTCCCGATTGACTTCCACGGTGAAGGAATAACATCGTGTAATAAAAATCAAACCCGCAAAATTATAATTTGCGTAATTACTGGTGGTAGGACCTCTTGTGAGTCCGCACGGGTAGGTACCACCCTGCCTATTTCTGCCGTGAAGCAGTAATGCGTTTCGGTATGAAAGGTGGGGCAGCTGTTGTAACTACACTTGAGACTTTAGAACTTATATCTCAAGGTGGGTGGCGCATTTACATTGTAGATTTCTATGGGCTCCAGTAACTACTTAACACCAGGTGGGCTATGAGCTCGTCCACCCATATAAGTAATTTAAAAAAAACCATGAAAATTATCTCTTCGTTCAGCAAATTAAGCCGCTCATTAGCTTAGTTAGGCGTCATGGCTCTAAGACTAGGCGATTACCAAAGTTCAAAGACATCACAACCTGGTATCCGTCACATGCCTTGAGTAATGTTAGAGAGATTATTATTATTTTAATTGAAAGGTAGGTAATCATTTATTATTTTTGTTAAGGAAAAGCATAGGGCTATGTCATCCCTTTAGTTATTTAAAATAGTGCCGACTATAGTGTTCTTGAACAATATGGGTAACTGCTAATATAATATTGACAAGTATGTAACCTATACACATTATACGAAAAAAAAATTACTATTTTTCATCATAATTTTTGTAAGTAATTGTATGTTAAGGTAAAAAAATGTATTTGCTATTTTTAAAACAGCGCCATCTATACATAACATAAAGTTAAATTGAAGTATCTGGGTGCGCCATCTATCAATTATCAGGAAAAACAATCACGTCGTTTTTTCATTTTACCTTTAACGCTTACCACTAGATGTCGTACTTTTAATTTTATATATAGTGAATAGATGGCGTACACAAGTCAATTTTAAAATGGATATCTTTAGGTATTTACCTATAAAGGCTTTCACAAGTTGCGAAAAGGAGAGAAACTTATAACTCGTTTCTGAACAATATGAGGATTTGAATTGAATTTTTTTCTTATAGTTGATGGTAAAATAATGAAAAATTCCATTATGTGGTTAGTTGGTTTCGATTAATTGAATTAAAATTTTGATGGACGCTCTAAAGGCTTAAAAACTGTGTGTTCAAAGGCTTTTTTGCCGAAACTCTAATGGACAGACAAGCTTTTCACCCACCTAATGTTGAGGGACGAAATCCCACTGCTCACATTGAGAAACAAGATCCAAATCCCAAAATGCTGGAGTCCTACTATTCGAAATATACCTACTCTACGGCGATCTGCTTAAGAACGATAATGCTGTTATAGAGGTCAGTCAAAAGTACCTATTAATGATACAGTATCTCGGGAAGGCAATGATGTATGAGCTGTATCTTTTGATTAAAGCATTTATGTTACAAAATTAGATATATATACAGCATATATATAGCAGAACGGTGCACAGGAGGTACATATGGTCCCATCACGTGTGAAGTGACAGAGTCATACAGAGACGAAAAGAGTGCGTTTGTCCTCTTCTGGACTGAAAAATACTGTTTAACTCTAATGAACTGATAGAGTACATGTTCATAGGTAGTACGAACTATAAAACCTCATTTTCGTAAAAAATTTGTTAAGCCACGTCAATTTTAAAGTTGCGATATCATTTACATTATTATTTCAATAACCAGGCTTCTAAGGTTGAAATACGATCTCATAGATGAGCGTAAACTATTGGAAGGGCATATAACCAGAATTATATTCAGTGTGTAAAGCAATAAATCACATGGTAACAGAAGACAACAATCCCGTTCAGAGAAGATCTAATATTTTTTATAAATAATGATATATTGTAAGAGTAAATATTTGGATGCCGGGTTTCATAGCAAATTTATAAATTTATCTAGGGACGAGACGCGGTCACGCCCTCTGATGGACAACAAAGAAAAGGTTGTAACTTCACCAAACTGCAAATTGTTATTTCCACGCCATAAAATTCTAAAAAGTACACATTTGATAGTCCAAAGAATGTGTGTTATTTGTTTAGCTAACTATTAATCTTTGCCTTATGAATGAATTTTATCGACAGCAAAAGTTACATCTAACTTGTGACATTTTTTTTTGCAATAAGAAAAAATCTTGCTAAAGGAAAAAAAAAATTTTTTTTACACCAACTGAGGAAGACCTTTCCACCTAATGCCTAAAATATTGCTAGGGGATTATTCGCTGATTTTTCTAAAGTATTTCTTGTTTTTCTTCTCAATCGTGT